GAACTCATAGAAATAGTAAAAGGATGGTTATGAGAGTCTGGGAGGGTAGTAGTGGGGTGAGGGGTAAGTGGGGATGGTTAATGGATCCAAAAAAGAATAAAACGTAGTTTGTGATAGCACACAGGGTGACTATAGTCTGTAATTTAATTGTACATTTTAAAATAAAGACTATATAACTGGATTGTTTGTAACATTAAGGATAAATGCTTGAGGGTATATCTGTGTACTGTGGGTAATTAAAAAAAAAATAAAAATAACATACCAAAAATGTTTGAGATGATGAAGACCCCATTTTCCATGTTGCGATTATTACACATTGCATGCCTATATCAAAGTATCTCATTTACTCCATGGATATATACACCTACTGTGTACCCACAACAATTTTTTTTTTTTAAGATAGAGTCTCGCACTGTCGGCCAGGCTGGAGTGCAGTGGCACAATCTTGGCTCACTGCAACCTCTTGTCTCCTGGGCTCAAGCAATTCTCCTGCCTCAGCCTCCTAGGTAGTTGGGATTACAGGCGTGTGCCACTACACCTGGCTAATTTTTGTATTTTTAGTAGAGACAGGGTTTCACCATGTTGGCCAGGCTGGTCTCGAATGCCAGACCTCAGGTAATCCTCCCGCCTCAGCCTCCCAAAGTGGTAGGATCACCGGGGTGAGCCACCGCACCCGGCCAATATTTTTTTTTAATAAATAAAACTCTGGGCCACTTGTAGTGGCTTACGCCTACAATCCCAGCACTTGGAAGGCTGAGGCGGGCAGATCACCTGAGGTCAGGAGTTCGAGACCAGCCTGACCAACATGGTGAAACCCTATCTCTACTAAAAATACAAAAATTACCCAGGCATGATGGCACACACCTGTAATCCCAACTACTTGGGAGACTGAGGCAGGAGAATCTCTTGAACCCAGGAGGTAGAGGCTGCAGTGAGCCAAGATCATGCTCCAATATGGAGACAGAGTGATACTCTGTCTCAAATATTTTAAAAGACTGAGTAGAACGCAGCCATAGGTGTTTTTAAAAGCCCCTTAGGTGGTCCTGGCACATACTAAAATTGAAGACCCACTATTCTAGCAGTTTTATCAAATTCCAATTTTTAAAAAATTTTGAATAGGATGTGCAAACGCAGGTTTGTTACATGCATATATTCTGCCTGTGAGTCTGGGCTGTCAGTGTGTGTATCACCACCTTAATTTTTTTTTTCGAAACTTCTTGGGGACTGGACACCATGGCTCATGCCTGTAATCCCAGCGCTTTTGGGA